CATCTTTTTTGACCCTTAACTTTCTCCCCCACATCTGTGTTGTGACCCGTTCTGCCTTACCCCACCTCCGCAACATTGCCAGGCTTCGCCACTGCCTCTCCCTTAAGGCCACCAAAACCCTCATCCACACATTTATCACATCTAGATTTGACTACGCCAACTCCCTGATAGTTGGCCTTTCCAACTCTTCCCTCCACAAGCTGCAGATCATCCATAACCCTGCAGGTCGTGTAGTCTCCCGCACCAGGCTCTGAGACCCCATCACTCCCGCCCTCGCCCGGCTCCACTGGCTCCCCATCCCTCAGAGGATCAAGTTCAAAATCCTCATCCTTGCCTTCAAGGTCCTTCAGGACCTTACCCCTTCCTACCTCTGTGTCCTGCTGACCCCATATCAACCTGTCCATTCCCTCCGCTCAGCAGGCTCTGGCCTACTCCATGTCCCCCGCCTGGCCTGCCCCACCATCGGCCGTTGGGCCTTCAGCCTCTTCATCTTCACCCTTCATCTTCATCTAGAACTATCCTACCCATTAAGGTTTGGCTTGTAGGGTTAAGAGGAGCTGAGTGGGAAGAATCCCTGCTAACAGTGACTGGTCTGTCCCTCCAAGTCCTACCATGAACCACGCTGGTTGGATGTCATCAGCAGTGCCCTGGAGTACTGCAGACCCACCTTTTTAGGAATCAGACCACCAAGGGCACTTCAGTTTACATTGCAAGGAGCTTTTCTGGTGGTTACATCATTCGAGCACTTATTGGATCTCAATATGTTACAAATACCTGTCAGCTGGCATAGCAAGTTATACCACATTAGTTTGCAGCATCTTACAATGGGCATTCAGAATCACCTAACAGGAAGTAGAAGGAAGATCAAACAGGGTTGTTTATTGTCTCAAGAAATACAGAGTTTAAGGACAACTTGGGAGGCATCCAATTGGATTACCTGGCCTCACATTGGGCTTTCAATGGTATCACAAGTCCCCTAAAGGAGAAAGATCTATGGAGAAAAAACAAAGAAAAAGCAAAGTACTAATTTTCACTGAATGATAAATGGCCTTCTGAAAACCTACAAACAGATCTTCTTCTCTGCTTGCTTTCATTTCTATAGCAACTATGCAGTGTGATAAACAAGCTGCTCTTGCCAGCTTCCAGGACTGCGAACTCCATTCAATCAATGCTTCAGTAAATCGCTCCTTATTTCAAAATCTCTTTTATCACATTGACGTTTTGTTAGCAGGTCTGCAGAATAAATATTTCCCTTCATTATTTAAAGTTCTCTCCTCGCTCTGTGTATCCCATTTAATCTTGACACACATGTTATATGGAAGATAGATGAACAATGCATATTTTTGAGTTACAGTCTCAAAACTTCAGGTCACACATATGAATCTCTAAAAACCCATGCAGAAAATATCCTATTTTAAGCATGGTAACAGAACTGTTTCACTGAATTTCTGTATTTGTTTGGTTTTGGTTTGTGATAGGCCAGTCACTTGAATTCCAGGAATCACTCTTTAGATTGTAATTTGGACTGACTGGCTTTTCAATATGAATGTCGCTCTGTTATCATGCTAATTAATAAGTGGGGCTTTGGAGACTCAACTTGGATGTATGACGGATTGGATTTGTTATTCAGAGCCTGCGTGGTGCGGATGGAACTGGAAATCCATTTGTAACAGAAAGAGGTTTTGTCCGTTCACATGTTTCATAACAAAAACTGCATCCAGTATAAAAGGCACAGCGGCTAAATCATCACACTCATTAACCTAAAAGAAAAGCTTTCTTTATTATTAGGACCAGAGTTTTACAAAGAAAATGTTTATTTTTCTTTCAAAATCAAGTTTAGCCCTCTTTGATGTTGACAGATGTCAGTCCTGGAATTGATCATTCTATTTGCGCTTCATACCAGGAGCAAACATTCTCAGGTAGAGTTGGCTTGGGTTGATGTACTTATAATGTTTCAATTCATGCCCCCACCACCCAACACCCTGACACCATTCAGAATGGTTGTGCTTCTGGCTCATGGACCACTGCATTGACCTGCAGGTTATTGGGACACAAGCTTAAAGCTGATGTGTTTTGTTCAGTTAAACCAGTATCTTGCCAATTGGCAGGCGAACTTGCAATCTGAGACCTGAATGTTCAGTACAGGGAACTGCACAAAACCAGCAAAACTCAACAATTTTTCAAAATACTGCACAATCTTTAATTTTAAGACAATGGTTTTAAGGCAAGTTTCAAAGCCTGTTTTCCACAGTTCATAAAAAGACAGTAACTGGGAGCACTGGCATTCTTCTCAGTTTCCTTGTGTTAACCTGCAAGCCAAAGCCCTAATGGGCAGGGCAGCCCTTGCCAGACAAACAGCAGAAAGCTTAGCTCAACAGGGCTCTCAAAGGCAAGCTATGCAGTTTCAGCAAACTGAACTCCAATAATACCCAATGCATACACTGGAATCCCTGTGCTTTGGCTCTCACCAACCTGCACCTAATACTTTCCGGAATTAGGTAATCAGGATCCAAACCCGAGGGAGAGAGTGCGCACTCCATTTCAGACGTAGGGAAATTTCTATATATAAATGGAATATATGTGGAACTCACAGACTGGTCTGGATACACCGCATGTGTCAGATACCTGGCTTACAGAAATAAAAAAAAGTTGGCTTCCTAATGAAATATATATTTCAGTATTTTGCACAGTTCTCCAGAATCATTACATACTTCAAAAATGAAATCCCCCAAGAGCTGCAGTGTAATTAACCTTCAAAAGTTTTACTTTTTTACTTTATTTCTTTTCATATCATCAACTCACAATGACTGACTATTATTAGGGGATCATAGACATACAGGAGTGAAAAATGTGTTGTTTAATTATAGATCCAATAACATATTCAATAATTAGCAAATCTTTTTGAAACAGCTGATTTTTCATCTCACGGTGTAAGTCAGCGACACTGTTTGTAAACACAAAACTGATGAAATGTCAAGTGCTATAATTGAAAGCAGACTCTACAGTAAATTTCACAGAAAACCTCACGCACAGCTGGCTTAACTCCCAATTTGAAATTCTATTTGAAAATAAGGTGTTTTAATTACCCTTCTCCAAAATAATTAACTGAAACCAATTTAAAAGCCAGTTGAAGGTAGTTTATTTTCTCCAATTCAAATCACAACAAAACTAAATCATGGGTGATGTGTTGTTTCTGACAACTTCATGTAATCTTGTTCCCAACTCATTATAGCCTACTAACAAAGTGATGCACACATTGAGTTGAATTCTACCACTGAGCTGAATTCTATCTCTCAGTGTGTGGCTATGTGGGGGATGATCCATTCGGTAGTGGTTTTACACAACAACAATAACAACAAATTGTAATTATATAGTGCCTTTCATGTTGGGAGGACATCCCAAGGTGCTGTACAGTTTGCACCAGAGCTGGGGGTGGGTGATGGGGGTAACTATATTCATGTGATACTAGCCTCACAAACAGCTGCCATTGGTACTGTTTCCCAATTCAAGACACTTTTTTTTATATAAGTAGTAGGCTTTGGTACAGCATTAGATTCATGGGGAAATATTTATTTAACTTGACCAACAACAATTTCCATTTATATAGAGCCTTTTTCGTCAAAAGAGCATCTCAAAGTACTTCCCCTGGATATCCAAGGTGGGGGACGAGGGATGGGGCTGAAGTAGGGTTGGTGTGGGGGATGATAATAATTCTTGCATTTGATATAGTGCCTTATCATGACTTTGAGATGTCTCAAAGCTCTTCACAGAATATACTGTAAAGTGAATTGACTATATAATTTTAGACGATAAACAGTAGCCAATTGCACACAGCAGTATCTCACAAACAGTTGCGGATTGAAGTGACCAATTTATTTTTTTTTTTTTTTTTTTGAAGGAATTATTACTCCCAGAAAAGCGATCCACCAATCGACTAACAACCGGGTTCCTAGTTACTGCTAGGTAAACAGAACAAGTGGAGTAAGGAAACTTGCCCAACATTTCACCCTGCCAGGAACCAAACCAAGGTCCCTCACTTGCGAGGCAAGTGCTCTAACCGCTGAGCTCCAGGACTCCATGATGACCAAAAGCGTAGTTAACAGGTACATTCTGTGTCCTTCAGAAGTAGAGCATGCCCTCTGGAATATGTGCCTACATGTAATGTCTCATTAAATAACTAAAATTGTATTCTAATGCAAGTAACATGAAAAGCCCAAAACAAATAAAATACATTACGCCTGCATTTTCATTGTGTGAAACCCAGTTGGTGGTCAGTCCACCATATATTATTATTATTATTTTATTATTTAATAAAACACCAGGGGGTAGTGCACTGTTTGAATAAACATGGGAGTTTCTCCTCGTATCATGGCCAACAATCCTTAGATAAATTGATCATTCACCTAATGGTTACTTGTAAGTCCTTCCTGCACAAAATGTCTGGCTGTCTATTTAGCTTCAAAAATTTGTCACTGCACGTGACATTAATTACCTTTGAAGCACTTTGATATGCTTTGAGGTGACAAAACATCGCTACAAAAATGTAAATTCCTTTCCTCTTTATTTCAGTGTTAAAATTAGGAAAATCGATTGCTACATTGAAGGAATGCAGAGGTTATGAACTTAGATATTGTACGGTTGAACACTAATTATTTAAGACTTCAGACAAGCTTTTCTTTGTTGTGAATTCAAACTGGAAATAAATGTATGTATTCTCAGCCAGGTCTATAGAGGCTTCAAGGTCCAATACCAAAAGCCAAACCCTGAGTGACACACCTTCGAGTCACCCTAGTAACATTTAATTGCAGCAGGCTGCACACAACAGTCAACAGCAAGAAAGCGAACCATTAAGGAGCAGCTAAATTAATGGTAGACGTCCCCACACAACAATATCCACAGCTCAGTAATTTACTTATGTTACTTCTTTGATTCATGTTTTGGGGGAGACAAAGATCCAGAAGGCATCCTTTAAATTGAATCCCTCACTGCGAGGAACAGAGATGACCGAGGCTGAAAATATATCTCATTTAGACAATGTCATCAATATCATTGACTCTGTTCAGAGACAAAACCATATCCTCAAATGCTTACTTCAGAAAACAGAGCAACTTGAGCAGAAGGACCAGGGGGTCATCAAACAGAGTATTGATACTGTGTTATTCTTGAGTGAACAGATCAGCATTGATATCCTAGAAAAACTCAGAAGTACAACAGAGATACTTCAAACGACAACTGAAATCGTGGCTGGCCTCTGTCAACAGAAGCGAACAAACATTGACCAGATAGGTAAGAGCTGCACTTCAAAAAATAAATATCATTCCTTACATTTGGTATAGCGTCTTTCCCATTGGATGTCCCAAATCGCTTCAGTGGATATACTGTAAAGTATAATGACTGTGTGTTTTTGTAGGCAAATGCAGCAGCTAATTCGCATATAGCAATGTCCCACAAACACCTATGAAGTGAATGACCAGCATTTTTGAAATAGTAAATGCAATAATGATATTTCATGCCTGATTGCTTATTTACAAAATATGTTATCAGGTTACACTTTAATATGTACACAAGTTAGTCCTTGAACACTCTGTACTTGTAAATGATATTGTTATAATCTAAATGTTCTTTACAACATAGCTTGTTGATTGTTTTCCTGTAGTTTTGGGCTTCTCAGTTTTGACGTCTGTTTCAATGTTTTGTCTCTGGTGTAACACACATAATCTTCCTTATTGTTGGACTTCCTAGTTAAACAGTCAAAAAAAACCTTGCATAATAGGGTAGACATAGGGAAGATGTTTCAACTTGTGAGGGAGACCAAAACCAGGGGCCATCAATATAAAATAGTCACAAATAGATCAAATAGGGAAGTTAGAAGAAATTTCTTCACATAGAGTAGTGGGAATGTGGAACATGCTACCATAAGGAGTTGTTGAGGTAAATAACATAGATGTATTTAAGGGAAAGCTAGACAGATCATGAGGGAGAAAGGAATAGAAGGTTATGCTCGAAGGCTTAGTTGAGGAAGGGCAGGAGGAGGCTCATGTGGAGCATAAACACCGGCATAGACCAGTTGGGCTGAATGGCCTGTTTCTGTGCTGCATATTCTAATATATTCTAATATATTCTAATCCCAGTCTGCTTTTCAAAAAGAGAGAAAAGAAGCAGAAATTAAATCTGAAATTCTACCTAGTCTTAGGCTGCAAAATCATTTTGTTTTCAAGTTTCAAAGTGCAGAATTTCACTTTACAGAATTTATGCAAATTAAAGTAATCTAAGGTGCAGGCAGAATTTAGAGCATTTGGGTAAAAAAGGGAACTTTACTGTAATTCTAAAGCATTGATGATTCTCAGATGCACACAATTTTAGAGGTAGTTTTTAATATCTTTGATTTAAGTAATTTGGAAGCTGACTCTCTTTAAGAACTGTAGAAAACTAGCTTCCAAATTGAGAATTTAGGAATTTTCCATAATTCTGTGTTAACTTAAATTTTAAAATAAAATGACCTCACAGATTAAGTAAGCCTAGATGGAACTTCAAATATTCTGGGAAGAAATTTGGAGCAATTGATGATGATAATAATAATCCTTGCATTTGATATAGCGCCTTATCACATCTTTGAGATGTCTCAAAGTGCTTCACGGAATATATGTAAAGTGAATTGACTGTATTTTGTAGGTAAAATACAGCAGCCAATTGCACACAGCAGTGTCCCACAAACAATTGTGGATTGAGTGAACAATTTTTTTTAAAGTGCATTGCTGGGGAGAAATTCTATTGAGTCTAGATTTGTTCTATTCATGAAGCATTTTAGAACATCCAGAAATTGGCAAATTTTTAAACACAGCTTCATTTTTGAATCCGGTTTTCCATAAAATTTGTAGAAGACATTCAGAAAACCAACTTCAAAGTTAAGGCTGAATTCAACTATTTGCCACCTTATGGACTCTCTACAACACTTAAAAAATAGAATAAATCTAGGCTCAGGTGGATTTTCTTCCCTTATGATTATCATTAGCACTATAATATTGAACCCCACTAGTTTAGACCAATAATGATCCCTTAGTTGAGTCTTTCAGTAAGTTTAACTTTTGACTTAAATATGTAATCCTTGCATTTGATATAGTGATATAGTGCCTTATCAAGTTGTCTGAATGTCTCAAGTCACAGGATTTTTACTGTGAAGTGCAATGATATTTATGGGCAAACGTACCTGCTGTTCACCACTAGCACAAAACCAATTCAAAAAGTCAACAGAGTTTCTCCCAGTGTCCTGACCAACAATCCCCCAAAATAAAATTGGTCACTCACACCATTACTGTTTGTGGGGCATTGCTGTGCACAACTGGCTGCCGCATTTTACCCACAAAATACACAGTCAATCCATTTCACAGTATAGGTGGGGAAAGGCGGAGCAGGTTAAGTCCCTGTTATAACATGATAGTTGTTGGTCCATAAAATCCCAACCAATTCTGTAATGGAGAGAAATGACTTCCATATATTCAATCCGCACGCAAGCTAAAGGCAAAACAGCGGATGCATCTGTATCAAATTCCACAGAAGCCTTGTGACCCTGAAGATGTTGATTTTGGCTTCCCCATTGCCGAATTGTCAATGGATTCAGCACGTACTTTAGATATTTTAGAGTAAATAAATGTTGGGATCCAAAGCTTATACATGAACCCATGTTATAATGAAATGCTTTATAATGGGATTCTACTCTACTTTGCTTACTCCTAGAAAGGAGATCAGTATCTCTTTGTTCATGGAATAAATATGATATTTGACAACAACTTGCTTGACAGCTTGAAACAACTTAAAACAACAAAGTTTCATAACACCCTTCAGAGTGCTGAGATTTCATAAAGCAACCTTTCTAACGGGTGAAATATTTACTAGTACAATCTGGTAGCTGATTTAATTCATGGCTGTTTGTGGGACATTGCTGTGCACAAATTGACTGCCACCTTCACCTGCAAAGTTCAGTCACTACACTTTATAGTAAATCCTCTGAAGTGCTTTTAGATGTCCTCCTGAAGTGAAAGGCGCTATATGAAATACAAGCATTATTTTATTTTAGTGTGATTAGGAAAAGTATCTGTGAAGTAATAAAATCAGACCCAGGGAGATAATATTAGACTTCCATTACTTCTAAATGTTACAACTCTTAAATAATGAATATTTATACATGAAACAGACAGATGAAGAATTCCATATATCTAGAACTTGGTAGTTCTTATTAGTTCCAAGAACTAATAATTGGTTCAGTTCTACCTATTTCATGATGATTTTTTGTTTTAATTCACTCTTTATTATGTTTCTAGTGAATCCAGCTAATCTGAATTACCTGGAGTGGACGAGCAACTTTCTAAACCATTTGATCGCAAGTTTAAAAAGTGCAGAAACTAATTTGTACGATGTCAAATGGCCTTCAGACCACAAGGAGATGCAAAGCTCCTGCACTGGAGAGGAAAAGGTGGAATTGGGATCTGATATGCAGCATCTGCAAACCGGGAGTCCCTCCTATCACCAGAAAAATGGGAATTCAGAGGAAGGGGAGACCAAGAAAAAAGGAGCCTTTGAAACATCTCTCAGTAATTCCCAAAATAATCAGCACATGTCTGAGAAAACAAATACCATTCTGATAACAGAAAAGGGACACAGTGTGCAAGAATCCAGCTGTAGCTTTTTTCAACCAAGTGCATGTGAAGGAGTTGAGAGAGAAGATACTGCAGGGGATAAAGAACACTTTCAGGCGTCCAGTGCAGTCTTTTCTAAGGAAGAAAATTATAATAGACAACTTACAATTCAAAAAGCAGGCAACAGGGAAGAGCACGTGAAAAGCCCTTTCAGAATAACAGAAGATATGGATAGTAAAACGGAAGTCGAAGACAGCGGAAAAACACTAAAATCTATCCCATTTAGCAATCAAGGTGGAAGCAAAGATATTCATCTAAGTATGGTGTCAAAAACAAGTGTGACCGACAGGTTAAAAATAAACAAATTCCATGACCAAAATGAGATTACTGACTCTGCAGCTCAGCCTGTGAAATCTAGGGACCCGCAAAGCTGGTCCCAAACAGGGTAAGTACAATTCAGTTCAGTGATGATGGTGGAAGTATGTAGAGGTATTATTAACTGCCTATGAACAACTGATGAAATTGTTCTGCACAATCAGCTCTGAACAATAACAGTGGCAACACAGGTTTCAATTTGTCCTATTACAATGGAGAAAAAAAAACACTGAAGTAAGATTTGTGGTATTGTTAAGCATTTTATTTCAGGAATGCAAATAAAGTATGTTTCAGCACATATGAAAGAGAAGAGATTGAAGGATTATGGGGTTATTGAATTGATCTCCTTGCTCTGTGAGCCAGTGTGGACTTGATAGGCCGAATGGCCTCCTTCTGCACTGTAGATTTCTATGTTTTTACATTTCATGACTGCCATGTGCCATAAAGATGCTATAAACATCACATCAAAATGCATTTAAATATCTTGCCATTAATTAAAGGTGCTAGTGTACATTTGAACATAGTTAGTCAAATCACTATTTGACCAACCTGCACTTTAGACTCTGATAACGTGTTTATATCACTGGCAACACCTGGTATTACAATTAATTTGCTTTTGTAAAACTTTAATTAAGTTTCCTGATCTAAATATTAAAACTATATTGAAAATTTACAATGAAGCAGATGATAAAAACATGTTTTAGTTTCTAAGAATAATTAATAATCCTTGCATTTGATGTAGCATGCTGTCGAGATGGCTCAAAGCTTTTATTATAAAGTGTTGTAGTGACTGTGCATTTTGTGTATTTTAGTTGGAAAGTTTTGACAGAGTTGCACCAGGAACAACGAGCACCATCTTACCTATTACAATGCAAAAGTGCCTGTATCGTGAACCAGAACACGCCCCAACACAATGCTGTGACCCTTTAAGCACAAAACATTTCAAACATTTCACCATTTATCCCAAGTATTTGTCAATAACTAATTTGTGTGCACAACTGATCTGTCCCAAACCACTGCTCAGTATATGAACTCCTTCAACTTCATGTTGTTTTCCAATTGTACCACCCTCTTGCATCCAATCTGTAAAAATCAAGACTGACCTTATTTCTCAATAGTGCAGCTGACCATTACGAAGGCCAGGTGGTTGAGCACAGTTTTCAGCAAGAAATCCATTGAGGGTTTGTAATTTTTATCATTTGAATGCCGCCGCGTGCAAAAGTATACCCGAAACACGAGAATCTGAAAGAAATTGGGCAGGAAAACGGGAAGAATATAATTTTAATCCAAAGGAAAGAGCAGTGAAGGTGGAATAACAGTCATGGATAAAATGCTTGTTAGTAAACTAGCAGCAGCAATAAACTGAAGACTGTCTCAGGATATAAAGTGTGTCTCCTGTAGGAAACCCCATGTACATCATATCAATCCGTGGGAACTCAGCTTTGATCTGAGGTCTCATAGTGCAATGGGGTTCCCTGGGAGAGACACACTTATGTCCAATGCCTCTTCTTCCAGTGATGAGGTGTTATTCTCATTTAGAAACAAATGTTCATTTATTTCATGGCTGTTTGTGTAACATTGTTGTAGATACATTGGTTGCCACTCTTGTCTACAAAATACAGTCAGTGCACTTTGCACTAGTTCCTGTAGAGGGCTTTGAGATGTCTCGACGACTGATTAAGCACTACATCAAATCCAAGGATTATTTGATTATTATAAAACTCAGAGTTATTTATTTCAATTGATTCAATTTGCATAAAAATCCAAGAAAATTCAAGAATTCTTTGTTGCCAGTACAATACTGAATGTGCATGCCTCAGGGTGCAAATTGTGATGTTTCAGAACAAATGCGATTTGATAATTATTACATTGAATTTGATATGAAACATTGCCAATTAGCAATAATAATTATCACATGTAAAACGTTTAGATACCTAATATGGTAAAAGAATGAGTGAAAATCTTAGAAGTATGAGGCATAAATCAAAAACATAGTATCAAAAATAGTGCTTACAGCAGAAAAGGTGAAACATTTTATTCATCATACTAAACAATGAATATGTGGAATATCAGTTCTGTTTTCTGTCTGTTTTTAGGCTGCTTGCAGAATTGAATGCTGAAAGTGACCCGCAGATCCCCTGTTATGTAACAGCCCCTTTCATGATAATCCAGAAACTGATATGTAGAATAATCAATGATAGGAGCTCACTGGTCATATATGATGGTGAAGAGCTGGTCAGCAATGTGATCAGCATTCAGTGCTCAGACTCCAGGATAAAGATTCCCTTTCCAATCAGGATTGCCATCCCATTCACTGCAAGTTACAGAGGACATTATCGTGAGATTATGGTGAAGGTGTCAGATGGCAGTCTTTGCTCAAGCTACATGAGTCCCATATCTTTGGAAGGAATTTATGATGGGCATAAGGTTGGTGAACAGCAGCCAGCGTTTTTCTCAAATCCTACACTCTTGCACCCAAACTCAAAAGATCCTCTTAAATAGTATTTATGGCATAAATGAAATAAATATGAATGCTCTCAGTGCAAAATAATCTTCCAATTATGATACAGTGCAATACAAATTACATTTACATAATGCCTTTCATGTCAGAAGGATGTCCCAGAGGTGCTGATGATCTGTTGTATGTTCTGTATATAATAATAATAATAATAATAATAATCCTTGCATTTGATATAGCGCTTTTCACGTCGGGAGGACGTCCCAAAGCGCTTCACAGAATAGACTGTAAAGTGAATTGACTGTATATTTGTGGGCGAACGCGGCAGCCAATTGCGCACAGCAATGTCCCACAAACAGTCGTAGATTGAAAATGACCAATTTTATTATTGTTTTTGGTTTTGGAGGGATTATTATTAGGCGTGTGGAGTAAGGAAACTTGCCCAAGGTCTCGCCCTGCCTGGAATTGAACTCAGGTCTCTCACTTGCAAAGCGAGTGCTCTAACCACTGAGCTACAGGACTCCACTATATGTTGTTGCTGTGTGGACAAAGCTGTTGAATTGCGATTTTGAAATGTTAATTGGGTTTGAAAATGCAATATTTGCAATCCAGAAGTTGCTGAGTTAAGAACAACTTCCAGTTTGCAATTGAAATTGCAGGATTTTCTATGAATTTTGCTTCAAAAAATGCTAAAAGGGGAAAAATCCATCTCGAGGTCCGCAACGAAAGTTTTCTGGGTTTTGATTACTAAACATTTTGCTTTTGGTCCCTTTCAGATTTGGGCCTAATTTGCCTTTAATTTAACTTTGCCTTAACTAGTAAAAAAAACTATTTGCAAAGATTTTGTGTTTCAACCTGCAATTGTATATTCAACAGCAAATGAAAATGGATCGCTCTATCCATTTTTCAATTTCTGCGCACTAATGTTACAGTCCATGAACAAAAATCACAAAAGTGTAAGTGTAAGTGTAATTGCACCATTTTAAAAAGGTAAATTACATTTCATTTGTTCTAATTGCAACTGCATTATTTTCTTCCCTTAGGGAACGTATGCAGAGATTAAGGTTTATAAACTCGGTATCTTTTCAGTTGTGTCCTGCTTAAAAAAAGAGAGATTTACGGTACCTAAAAAAGGATTGGCTTTGAAGCTGAGCATGGATGGAAGAATTGCACTGAACTATCTTCCAGGAACATTTAGTGCTCCAGTCATAGTGCAATCAAAGGTAGGAATCAAAGACATGTACATATATCTCCTCCTTTCACCAGGCCACTGAGTTTCCCTGAGAGAAAGATGCATGGTACCTTATCCAAGTTGACCGTGGAATCCCATCGCTTAGTGGTTAGCATGCTTGCCTCGCAAGCAAGAGGACCTGGGTTTGATTCCCATGTGGGGCGAGACATTGGGCAAATTTCCTTACTCCACATGCTTCTGTTTACCTAGGAGTAAATAAGAACCCTGTTGTTAGTCAATTGGTGGATCACTTTCCAGGGATAATAATCCCCTTCCCCCAAAAATTATAATTTAATCACTGTTTGTGGGACATTCCGCCCAGAAAATACACAGTCAATCCACTTTGCAATACATTCTATGAAGCGCTTTGACACTTCTCAACATGTCTACGTGTGAGCAATCTAATATGATGTCCACGTGTTTAGGGTATCCATGCAAATCAATCAATAACTATGAGGAATGAAATCCCTGGCTGAATTTCCCTCGCTGAATTGTAGCAATCCCAATCACTGCTGTGACTGAGATCAGCTAACTCAAAACAAACCAGGGATTGAACCAGGGGAATTTGGGTCCGTCTGCCTGATGAACTTTTTTTGGGGTTGAAAAAGACCTTTAGCCTGAAATTCTACCCAGTAATAACCTGAAAGAGTAATTTGTTCCTAATTTTAAGAATATGCAGAATTGGGGAAAAAAGCTTAAATTTCCGTTTTCACTTGAAAGCTAGATTTACACAGCTCTTGAAAAAGAAAAGGCTTCTTAATTAAATTGAATTGAAGAATTTTTGCACAATTCTCTGCAAACTTAAACCTTAAGGCAAAATGGCATCTTGACGTTGGTAAAAGCACATGCGGATATAAAGCCTGCCTCCTGCAGTGAATCCCATGTTTGTCACTGTGATCTTGGCTCTGAAGCAATCTTGGATCAGAACTGCCATCTCTTGTTGTCAGCGGGATGACTAAGGGCTTTGTGGAGGAGATACATTTTGTGTCCTGAGATTTTTTTCCTCAATGTCGAGGCACCATTTTGTTGCTGTTTTTCCTCACAAGTATGTTTTCAGAAACAAGGGAATTTGTTACGGCTGTGCACAGATTTACTGCTGCATTTGCCTACAAAGAACCATAGTCACTACACTTTACAGAATATCACTTTGAGATGTCCTGCTGATGGGAAAGGATGTTATATGAAATGCACAGAATTTTTTATTATATAAAACATAAGATCAAATTGGCAAGAAGGCCTTTTTCATTCAAACCTCTCTTGTGACCTGCTATTGAAAATAGACATGCCCTATCAGGTAAAAATGAGGGAGGGAGAGGGAAAAACTGGGCTGTTTGGGACATGAATGGACATGCCTGTATTAGAGAAGAAAATGAACATAAAGATATAAAAGTAAATAACATAACAGCAGGAGAAAGGAACAAGATGAACCCCTTTGTTTGATAAGAATTAGGGGCAACATTACTCATGCAACTTTGCCTGAACCTGTTTAAAGTCAATTTGTCAAGTGATTAACTTTCTTTTCATAGCAATATTCAATGGGTCATTAGATATGTTGAGTGATTTTTCAGATTGCCCAGATTATGCATGATATTGGCTCACTAGTATTATTAATATTGTGCCTTTGCTAAACAGATATGAAGTCTGTTGAGAGATTTTCTTGAAATAGTACCAAAGATCTTGCTTCACAAGAATAACTTCTTGTTTCCAACAATGCTCAAACTTGTCTTTTAGACATGAAGTATAGTTTTAATTTGAAATTCGATACTACCTGGTTTATTTTATCAGCAGAGGCTCCGATTGGTAGGATCAGGTAAACTGAAACATGACCCTAAAGCAGAGTTTAGATTTTAAGTAAGGTCCCTGCAATAGCTGCTTAGTATACAGAAAATCTTAAAACAAAATAATCTTACAGGCTAAAACCAGGTGGAATTTGGGGGCTATGATGTCATGTGCTGGCAATAATATTGCCAACCTTCAGCTTTACGATTTAGAGGGTTTCATAGCAATTTTGCACAGCTTGGAAGTCTGGAATGCTTCATAACATTTACCTCTCCCAGTGCTATCTGTTTTCATAGGTTCAGCCAATTGATACAACGCTGCTGTCTACTTTGAAAGCAAGACAAGATGTGTACCATTCCATAGTCTCAACCAGCCCAATTGTTCATATTACTCATCCTTCAACCCAGCAGTTTCGAAAATCAATTGCTATCATTGTGCCTTGCCCACCAAATCCAGATAAAAAGAGATTAGGAGATGAAACAGACCACGGTCGAGCAGCCACTGCCATGGTCCACAGGAGCAGCAGCCATCGCATTCGGTAAATTGACAGCTTAACTGCTAAACTGCACTATCGCGAGCTATAAAAGTTTCCACACATTCAGCAGTGAGGTTCTTAAATAGATGAAACAAATTTTTTTCAGTGAGATTGCTAATACATTTTGAAGTAACAATTGCAGTGGGTTAAAAAAAATCTATGAAGTACACCTGATAACTTCCAACAGAATGTTACATCTTTACTTTGTCATTTGTCAAATTACAGGTCAATGAGTGCCCCTGTGAAAAAACACGGTGAGCCGGCCAATGAATCCTTGAAGCTATTGGGATTTAAATGCAGAGATGAGCAGTGGTTTCTGATGGACGCGATAACTGTAAAGAATGGGCAGAATGGACTTGTTGAATTTGAAATCGCTGAACATGTAGAGAGGTATGATATTTGTACACTTTAACTAATAGTTCAGTGAGCGTATACTACTTATAGGCAATAACCTAATTTCTCTGTTTTTAACTGGTTTGCAATTCCAGTATTGCATAGAACATAACATCAACAACGACAACATCAAGTTACATTTACATAGTGCTCTTCACATGAGGGAAGGGTTTCAGAGAATTGATAGTGAAGTTTGAGGTGGAGCTGGGGAGAAATAGGAGGTGACTGTGGGCACGATCGAAGAGTAAAATCTTCAAGTGTGATCTGAAGATGAGCAAAGAAGGGCTGGCTCACACACGAAAACATGTGCTGAAAGCAACCTAATATGAGTTGAATTTGAATCGGATAAAGCTTTGGAGCCTAGTGTCAGCTAGTACTTCTATAATGACTGGTTTATAGGTGTGAAATTGATATCACTCTGCTTCTCTAATCTTGTCCACATGCATCCTACTGTTCACTTAAATCAGGCACCACTTAAACCATACAAAAGGAATCCCCCATCCTAGCACTGATACATCTTAAAATAAGAACTACAGGTAGTTCCAGCTTCTTTGGTTTTAAATTGTTTTTGAAAAATCAAGTGTTCAAAGGAAATTAGTGTATAGTGCACCAAGGCCTTTTTTTAACAAGTAAATTCTTGGGGAAAATCCCCACCAGCCCCTAGAACGCCAGACTACGCCATTACCTCACCCCTCACGCTGCTGAAACCCTGGTCCACGCCTTTGTCACCTCAAGGCTGGACTATGGGAACTCTCTCCTCGCCGGCCTTCCCGGCACCTCCCTCCACAAGCTGCAGGTCATTCAGAACTCTGCAGCTCGTGTACTGTCCCGCACCAGGCTTCGGGACCACATCACTCCCACCCTCGCTCGCCTCCACTGGCTCCCCATCCCCCAGAGGATCGAATTCAAGATCCTCATCCTCACCTACAAGGCCATTCACGGCCTCGCTCCCTCCTACCTCTCCAACCTACTATCCCCCTACCTACCTGCCCGTACCCTCCGTTCCTCCGGCTCCGGTCTGCTCCACGTCCCCCGCCCCAATCGCCCTACCATTGGTGGTCGGGCCTTCAGCCTCTCAGCCCCGAGGCTCTGGAACTCTATCCCCCAGTGCCTTCGCCGCCTCCTCCCTTTCCTCCTTCAAGGCCGGTCTCAAGACCTTTCTCTTTGACCGTGCCTTCAGCTCCCTCTCGACTCTCTTCCTCCTCCTCGCTCCCTCCCTTCCCTCCCTCACCCTGACCATTTCCCCCCCTCCTCGCTCCCTCCCTTCCCTCCCCTCACCCTGACCATTTCCCCCCTGCTCGGGTCATGACCCAACTGTGCAGCGCCTTGGGACGTCCTCCTGACGTGAAAGGCGCTTTATAAATGGAATCTTGTTGTTGTTGTTGTTGTAGAAATCCCCCAGCTGTAATTTCAAAATTACCCACCAGTAAATTGCCCTTCCATAATAATACTAAAGCTAATGACAATTTTGTCACCGTTATCTCTATTGTTATTAAATTATTATTTTGTTGGCCAAGCGGGCAGCGTTTAGGCAGTTTTACAGAATTTTAGGCCAATTTTATGGAATATTATTTGATAATTAAAGACATTGTATGATCATTACTTATTAGATTCTGGTTTCATAGTGTTTCAATCATCCTATCATTTGAAAAAAAATATGAAGCATTGCTTCATCTGTAGAAATCTGTTTTTAATGCTTCTGGATGTGGGATAAAAGTGCCTCTGTGAGTTCAGTCCCACCAGTGAAAATTCCTTTAAAACATGCTCTGTAGTATGCATTGGCTTTCTCTGTGTTGCCCCAGAGCAGTAGTTTTGGATCACTAGAGAGCTCAAAGGTTACCCTGAAACCTGTTGCTTAATCTGGTAAGAGTGATGTGACTCATTGTTCTGGTGGATGCAACTCGCAAATGGCAAGTTCCTGCTAGATCTTTGTGTTTATTTGATATTGTGTAAGAATTTAATATTCCATACAAGGGCCATTCGATTGCTCTGGGACGCTTCCTTGTGTGAGGGAATCAATATAAATGCAAGTTGTTGTTGTTGATTGTAAAGACCTGGAGGCAGTTGAATATTGGGCTCCAATTTACGAGATTTGCAAAAGTATTTTTGTAAATAGTGAATCCTGCAGGTACCTGCATGTGTCTCAAGTTGTCTCTCTGAAACTGTTTGGATATCAATCTCAGTTGCAATTTCTGTGGAAGTGGATTACATAGCCATCAAAGGCTCATCTGGGTCCCTGCAGAATCCACTAAATAGAAACCTCTTTGTGAATCATGTGTTATTCATATCTTTGTCAAAGAGCTTAACTTCAACAAATGCAGACGTTCATTCCAATTTCATCTCTGCTAATAGACTGAAATTCTAGCTGGCGTTACACATAGCACCTTTGGCGTTTCATGATTATAATGGAGAAATCCCTTTAGTCCACATAGCCTAAGATAATACGTGTAAACACTGACTGATTAATGTGTGTTTTGCATAACAATATTTCTGATCCCAACTTTGACACCTTGAGTAGACAGTTTCCATACAAAATCCACAACCACTACACTTTACAGTAAATTCTGTGACGCCCTTTGATATGTCCTGAGTGTAAGGCACTCTATTAGAATACAACAATTAATATTATGTATGATTCCCTCACTCATTTTTGCCGATTGTATTTACTACATGGTTTTATTTTTCCATGGGGACAAAAATCTGGAACATGTTTACATGATGAAGTAGACACATAGAGTCTAATTTGACAACATGAACGCTATTGCACTCTATTGAAAAACATGTTGTGCTTGTATCGTTTGCTGGTTGAATGGGATTGATATAATAAGTGAGTAGTATATAATGCAAAAATAAAAAAAATTCAGTGCATTCCAGATGCACAATCAATCTTCATTATTCTAAGTGTGCGAGGGCTGAAACATTTTACTTCTAATCAAGGGTCCATCTTATCAAGGCTTGACTTTCTTTAATTAAATGTCAGCTAGGATCAGGGAAAACATTTGCTGGAACAGGTTTTAATAATAGACTTTGACTATTAATAAACAATTAAGCTGGAATGTGTCTAAATACAATAATGTAATTTAGGAGATCTGGGAGATACAATAAATCGCAGCTCCTGAGGTTGTCACTTCTAACAAATTGCTATTTTAGACAATTGGGAACAATCTGTGATATTCACAAGTGGAATTTGATGTGTTAATTGTGATTTACGTTTCTGACTATCAACAGCCAATTTGCAATACTTGCAAACTAGCTAATTGCAACTTCTGAAAGCCAATGAAATGCACAAACATAGGTAACTATTTTCCATGGTGGTCTAATAAAGGTGTTTGCTGTTGTTCAGTCTTGTGATGAAAAGGTGACATGACAATTATAACATTTTATGTAACCATATAAGAGAAATGCTTTCTAATGTTTTTTCATATTTATGCTACAAAGGAGACATAATATAATAATAATACATAATGTTTTTTCTCACATTGTGACTTTGTGCCTCATCATATCATCAACATATCTCAATGCATATTACAGGATTTACTGTGATGTGTAGTGATGTATTGACAGTGTTTGTACGCAATGCGTGAAGATTATCGCTTTACATTATAACATATTATCTGATCAGGTAGCTGGCAAACTGAAGTAGGTCAGATTTTACTTCTTTCCATAGGTACTGAATCAGTTTGCAGCTGTTACCTAAGGTCAGTTGCATTTACCTGACCAGACACACTTACCAGCAATTCTCTTAAAACTCTCAAATCTTTCATTTCAAGTTCAAAGATTCTTGTATTATTACATTTAATGAACTGTCTGTTTTTTTTTGGCAATCTTATATGACTCAATTCTGATTAAAGCCTTGCACAGCCTCTCCTGTTACAATATAATTCTTAAATGTTACCCTTTCACCTATTCAACTATCTTGATGGAATGACAGCAACTGCTAAAATAAGAGACAAATGTTGATATTTTTTATCATAGTTTTGGGTCTTATCACATAATACAATAATTTTTATCGTGATTGATACTATATAGTTTTTGTAAATTTCACCAGTATATTTTTCCTCTAACAGATTTATAGTTCTTCGTTTGTCATCCTCGGTGGACAGCAGCTACTTGGTTTCTTTCATCCAAGAACTGGAAGAAGCAATCCAGTTCACCATGGTTAATATTGTTATGTATCACAGAAGAGACAATTTCCACAAGGCTGTAGTTCAACTGGTTCCGTCCAAAGATTCACCTTGGGAATTGGCTAAACTACGAGAAAAGGGATACAGGGGCCCTCCAGAGCCATCTGAAGAGTTTCCGATGAGAGAGGGAGAGCAGTTAATACTGAAGTTTAGTGGCAACATTAAATCACTAGGTAAGTTGCTAATAATTATGCTTTTAAAGTCAGGCTGGCATAAAATATTTATTTGACCTCTATATTAATGTTTTCAGATTACAAAGGCAAAAAAGCACAGGTTCAGGGTTGTGAAAGGCAATTTTAGGCCAGACACCAGAAAGTATTTATTTACACAGATGGAATGGATTATCATGGATGATGATACAGTCCAGGAGGCTAGACTGATTGAAAGATAGCACTGTGGATATTCTGCAAAGATGAGATCAATTGAACCGAAGGGTCTTTTTCATCTATATCTCTTGTGATTTTGTGATACATCTTTTCTTCCTAATTTTCTGCTTTTGTCCCCCTTTCTATCATGAAACACATTGATTCATGATAGTCTGCAGCTCCAATGGCCTCTGTTACTTTCGTAAGTCATTTTTTTCATGTCTATGTCAAGATGTTTATTACTGGCAGGTGTTCAATCTTGAACACCATTGCAGATGTATCCAATCCTTTCTTAAACTGAGATCATAGTTAATTTGAAGCAGAACCTAACCTTGATTATTATGATATTTGCTGGATTGTACCTCCAATCCTTTTTTTTCTCTTCAGTCAGGTGTCGGACACATGCGGAAATACTATGCTTAATAACAATGACTTTTATTTTTATAGCGCCCATCATGCAGGACAGCATCTCTCCCTGAAACTCTGGAACACTCTCACTCAATCCCTCCGTTTTACCCCCACTCTCCCCCTTTTCATGTCCCATCTGAAAACCTTCCACCTTGACTGTGCGTACAATCATCCTGCTTCCCCCACTGCCCTCCACCCTCCCCGATCCCGACCCCGACCCCCAGCTCAGGTCCGAAACGCTGATTGTCCAGGACCTTGGGACATCCTCCCAAGATGCTATACAAATGTAATTTTGTTGTTATTGTATTGAGGACCAATAAAATATTTTAGAGTGATAATGTGGAAGTATTTATGGCAGAATAAAAAAGTGCATAGAATCTTGTGAGGATTGTTGGATGGGTTTCAATATTTTACTCTCCAAATTCCATCATTAACTCTATAAATGTTGACAGAATTTTGGTTCCACAAAGAGGTAAACAGCTGCTCCTAAAGCTTTGTAAGTCTGTACTTACAACTGACGACAACTGATGGAGCCATGACTAGGGCTTGTGTGTTTGAGCTGCGGTCAGGAGGATCTCTTTGGGGCTGAATTAACAACAAGATGATACTCCTGGCAATGGAAATCAAAATTGAGTTGATCCTCTGTACATATTTGATTGTCTAATACTTGATAACCTGACTCATTGGTTTAACTTGTAGGAACTGGATTCTTCACATTCAGCTCCTGATAACTCTGCAAGCCAAAACCTTAACAGATAGGGTCATGTTAGTCGCTAAAATTTTGGCCTGAACAGGAAGTTTCCCAGTGCTCAGCAATGGTAAGCTGCGTTAGTTAAGTTAGTTAAATGGTCGAAGTTAGTTAAACGCTAGCAATGCCCTGGGTCACATGCTGTGGTTTCCAAGTTATGGCTCTTACCAAACTATACTTAATTTCTCAGGAATTAGTAATCATAAATTTGGTATAGCGCTTTCCATGTCAAGTAAGTAGATAGCAACCCTCTGAGGAGAGTGTGTAACCTATCTATACTAGACAAATGGAAACCATATATATGTGGAACTTGGGAGGCATTTGTTTTGCTTTTAAGCATTGCCGACCAAAAGGAATACAGATTTCCTGTTATCATTAAATAGTACTATTAAACCAATTCTCCACTAGAGACTTCTTAACTACATGTATAATGTATGTCTGATCTTTATTGTAAGCATTTTTGCACAATACAAATAAACATAATGCCATGTACTTCATATGTAAACATTTGGAGTCCTGGTTAGAACACTCACTTTGCAAGTGAGAGACCTGAGTTCAATTCCAGGCAGAGGGCGAAACCTTGGGCAAGTTTCCTTACTCCACACACCTAATAAGTAATCCCTCCAAAACCAAAAACAATAATAAATTGGTCATTTTCAATCTACGACTGTTTGTGGACATTGCTGTGCGCAATTGGCTGCCGCGTTCGCTCACAAATATACAGTCAATTCACTTTACAGTGTGTTCTGTGAAGCGCTTTGGGACGTCCTTCCGACGTGAAAAGCGCTATATCAAATGCAAGGATTATTATTATTATTATTTAATTGCACGCTAAATTTGATATTAAATTCATATCAGCTAGCTTCATAGTCTCTCCCCAGCCTACCTCTATGACCTCCTGGGCACCTACCACCTCCAGCTGCTCCTTCCACACAGTGAACTGCTTCATGCCACTTCCCATCCTGCCCCACTATCGGTGGGTGAGCTTTCAATCATTCTGTCCCTACACCTCATCCCTGCGGTTCTCACCTTTAAAACTGCCTTAAGACCTTTCTGTTCAATTGCACTTTTGGTCACCTTTCCTCTCCCTCCCCCCATCTTCCTCAGCTCCCCACCCCAGTTCAGGCTCCCAGTCGGCTCTGTGAAGCACTTTGAGATACCTTCCCAACATTGAAAGTCGCCATAGAAATATAAAATTGTTGTTAGTTGATCAGAAAGGTGACATTTTGGAATCATTTAAAATTTGTACAGAACGCAATTGTACAGAAAATAAAGTGTGCATGAACAGTTTCTAATTTATAAACACCTGCCAATGTCACAACAAAAATGCTCTCAGGCAGAAAGCTCTTTACTATTAACTTGTCACTAAATTTCCAGGCTGTCAAACAAATGTAACAGCATAGCATGCACATAATGAACAATAAAGGGACAGAAAATGAGGCAGGTGCAGGCTAGAAAATATCTTCCCTAATTCTTTTCCCGTCAATGCTCACACAATGCATGTTTCATATTGTTACAAGGTATAGAAAGTCCCCATTCCCAGAGGCAACTTATCTTCGTTACTGGACATTTCAAGAGTGGCTAAAGCAATCAGTTGAGACCTGGGGCAGGAAAATATTATAAATGGAGATAACTATCACAACATACACCATATGTTTCACTTCACAGGACTTCCAATTAACTTGATTACATTGAGGCTTGGCCTGTGTTACACAACAGAAGGACAATCGTTTGGGAAATACACAGGCAGGAAACAAAAACACAATGCACCATTGTAAAGAAAGAGCATTCAGCCCTCAGGCAAAAAGGTTTTAAAAAAAGGTCAGATTAACCTGGAGGGAATGTTTAAAGAATCAGGATCTCTGAATTTGTGAGGTATTCGCTGCACTCTTCGCCCAAAACGTGTGCATTGGGGAACTGCAGGCGTCCAACCAGCTGAAACCACATAGCATGCTATTGAAAGCACTGTCTGGCACTTTCCCGCTGCTTGTTCAGCTAGGAACACCTTATTTTTTTTAAGGCTTTGACTTGCAGGGTTAATAGGAGCTGAGTGTGCAGAATCTCTGCCCCCAGAGACTGGTCTGCCCTTCCAAATGCTGCCTATGAGCCACGCTGGCTGTGTTGTCATCAGCAATGCTCGAGAATACTGTGGACCCGCCTGGCTGAGGAACTGGACTACTTAGACCACCACAGAGGGCTCGCTCTTCTCTGACATTCCAATGCCAAACATGTTACCTTGAAGCCAGTTAAATTCCAAGGAGACCCCACCTATCTCCTCCCCAAGGAGAATTGTCACTATATTTTTATTTGACATCCGACAAGCAAGGGGGAGGGTTTGGAGGTTATGTGATAATTAGAACTTAACAACTCACTTTTCTCCTCCAATATTACATATCAAACCGTTGATCTGTAAAACTCATGTGTTTGTTCTCCTATCTTGATTTAGGAAATGAGGGAGATGTAACTCAAGGATATCAATTAATATTCCACTCTCAAAGGAAGACTAGACTTGAGCTTGAACTCAATGAAGTAGATGAATTTGGCAACTACTGCTCGCCCCACTACAAAGGAATGGCAATATTTTATAAAGTAACCAAAGAAGAGCTCAACAAACAATGGGATGGAGCTGACAATGCAGAGGAGAGCCAGCAACGTAGCCCGGTGTGCAAACTGGCACTGACACTTCCCAAGGTCAGAAAATAATCAGGATAAAAACACTATACTTGTTACAGCATTTCTCTCTGTGACTGATAAATTTCCTGGTGATACAGTAATTGCAAACATGTCCATTGCATCACATATAGTATTTGAAGGAGGGGAAATAGTAGTATTTGAAAGAAGGGAAAATTCATTTGTGAAATTATTAGATTACCAGGTTGCATACCCCTCCCTCCCAATGGTGATTACAATGATATTCTGTGTATTTGATATAGGAACTTTCATGTCAGGAGGATGTTTCAAACCATTTCACAACATTTACTGTAGTGTATATTGTAAGCGAATGCAGCAGTCACATAGAACTCAGTAATGTCTAACAAGAACCGACTTGAAGTGAGTGACCAATTTTATCTCAGGGATTGTTGGCCAGGAGACTAGGAAAAATTCCCTTTTCTTTTTGAATATTACCTTGGGATCTTTAACATCATTTGTGGAATCCTGTAGCTCAGTGGTTAGAGCACTCGCTTTGCAAGTGAGAGACCTGAGTTCAATTCCAGGCAGGGCGAAACCTTGGGCAAGTTTCCTTACTCCACACGCCTAATAATAATCCCTCCAAAACCAAAAACAATAATAAATTGGTCATTTTCAATCCATATGACTGCTTGTGGGACATTGCTGTGCGCAATTGGCTGCCGCGTTCGCCCACAAATATACAGTCAATTCACTTTACAGTGTGTTCTGTGAAGCGCTTTGGGACGTCCTCCTGACGTGAAAAGCGCTATATCAAATGCAAGGATTATTATATTATTATTATTATTATCAATCTGAACAGGCAGATGGGACCTCAGATTAACGTTTCATCTGAAGGACAGCACGTCCAACAACGCAGCACAGCCCCAGCACTGCACAGGAGTGTCAATTTAGACTACATGAGCTCTAACTCTCGACACAGGGCTCAAACCTGTAGCCCATGCGGTTAACCCAAGTTGTAGTTGTCTTCAGCAGAAAATAAAAAATTTCAGGGAGAAAATTAAGAAATCCGCACCAATTTAATTTCACTCTTCTCATCTTTTCTTACCTGTGTTTAAATATCTATTTTTTATTGCAGAGAGAAAGGACTGTTAATCGTTCAGTTAATGTAATCCAAATTCCAACAGAACCTTCTAAGGGTAAGGGAACTGACCTGTTGAATTTCTATTTAATAACCTCTTGTACCTTTGGTTCAAGATTTCATTGTATCCTAAGATTAATGTTATGATGCCTGCTTTGACAATCATTACTTTTAGTGCACAGAAAACTGTTTTGTGAATTATTAATGAACATTGCAAGCCTGGACTAGTTGAGTTAAAGGAATTGCCTTCTTAAAACCAGCACAATGTAAATACAATGAATAATTTTTTCGTAAACTGTCTAATAATTCATTCTGGCATAAAATAATCCGGTGGTACTTTATTGGTCTACAATGTGACTGGAGATATATTTCAAAACTACATCGTAGTGGCAGAAAAATAAATAGATCTTGTTCTGCTGGAAAATATTGAAATCACATTTGCTTCCACAACCTTTGGATAATTTAAAGAATATTTAAATACAATTTCAGGTGATTTAAATCCAATCAAAGGGACTAAACTGATCAGAGCATAAGTTCTCCATTTGAAGTATAGAGTCTAGTGGGCTTGATGATGGGCATCTAGGTTTTTTGCATTCTCTCCTTGCTATATCAATGGGGCAGTGAGTGGGATGGGGGGAGGAGGGGGAGGAAGGGAAGAGGGGGCGAGGAGTGAGGAGGGGTGGGAGTGTGCGACATATTAATTATTACAAAGTCCAACACTTTTTGTCCAGGATTTAAAAACAGGTTTGGGACTCCTAAAATGTTAAAACCCCAGTCTTTCAATTCTTTTGATGCGAACCATTATCGGTATTCTGGAAGGATAATGTTGGGAAGACATCTCAAAGCACTTAACAATCCTGGCTTGGCACCAAGAGATTCTGGTGGGAGCCAAGGGGGTGGGGAGGGGAAAGATGAACAAAAGTGCGTTTAAAGTGGAAGGTTAATGTAAATGAGTGTAATTGTTTTAAGACACAAGAATCCTGAAATTCCACCTTGTCTTAGCCATAATGTCTTAAAATTTATAGCTGTACCTAATTGTGAAAAACCTTAATTTGAAAGACGGCTTTGTTCTGTTAAAAGAATGTGTCGAAAATAGCTTCCAATTTGGGGCTGATTTTAAGAATTTATTGTAATTCTGCGCAATCGTAAATCTTAAGATTAGGTTAAGACTCGCTAGAATATCAGGCCTCAGGTCCTCCTGTTAATGATGCTTTGAATTCTTTAACTGACAGACGCAGTGTCAGATAACGTATTGTACTGGGTGGCCTCAGAACTTTCTGAGGAGGATGCACTCCTGCTTTTTACATCTCTTCGAATTCGACGCAGTGCGATTCAGCTCGTCAAGCTGACAAACCCAGATGATTTGACACATCAAATCTTCAAGCTACTGAGCATGTGGAAAAAGAGCCTTCCAACATCAGCGGATAAACAACGGCTCCTTTCGAGACATTTGAATAAATGCAGCAGACAAGACCTAGTGGAAGATTTACAGTCGAAATGGAAGATTGGGGAAGAGAAATAGTAGATAGTTTGATTTTAAAAAATGGTTTCCATCATAGACATGCCTCTCCTGGCATTAATGTGCATCTATATATCCGTCACATTAAGCAATTGGTGCAAAAAGAGTCACCTGGAGGTGTTTTAGTGCTGCAGATAGAGGTCTGAAATGCAAACTAGGCTTATTGTGTGAATTGTGACTTCAGGTTTTCACATAATAAGTTCCAGAATTCATGGTGAATACACAGCTCACAAATTGCGAATCCCAAGCAAAGTCAGAAGAAATATCAAGTGAGCAAAGCCTGTATCAGCCGAGAGTAGGGTGGACAGTCAGATGAGTGGGATATGAACAGGTCAGAAAGGCATGAAGTTGCTAAGGCACAAAGAGATTTGTATGTGAGGTAGAGGATCTTAAAATCTATCTGAATAATCAAAACAGCAACCAAACTGGAGGTTCTTCAGCGACAGTTACTTTTGATCACAACCCAATTTCCCTCATGTTTGGCCTCTTTTGGGAATTAACAAATCTCCCTGTTGGAGAATGAATTTCTCGTTTGACTCTGTTTTTCCACAAAAACTAGAGAGCTAATGACAAGAAACTGAGCAAAACTCCGACTGGTCAAGACCTGGTCAATATTCCGCTCTCTGTGTTCTTTTTAAGAAGTTACATTTTCCAAATTGGAATTTGTGATTTGCCAGCTGTAAATTTAATCACAAATCACTCAATCTGATATTCACAAAACAGAAATTCCAAGTAATGGAACTAATCTAATTTGTAATATTACATTTTAGACCCAAATCATCTGTACCAAAGCAACAATTCACAGCACAAGAAAAACATATATGAACAAAGTAAACTGTTTAATTCCTCTTTTATTGTTTTTCATTTGGTTAAAATGTTTCAATGTTACGGGATATTGTGTAACACTTAGAGTAGCTGTGCATTGACAACTGTAAAATGTTTTTACTGAGGATGTATGATCAGCACTATGCATAGTAGAATATTTGCCCAGGGTAAGCAAGTATTCTATCTAGAGCTATCTAGTGACAGCTCAATATGTGGAAAGTAAAGTATATTTGTCATTGAACAGTCCCCATAAGTCAAGTATCTCCAATAACAACATCAACAACTTGCATTTATATAGCATCGTTCACGCAAGATGGTGTCCATACCAATGGCTGAGTTTGACACCAAACCAGGGAGAAAGAGGAGGTGACTGTAGGCACGGTCAAAGAAGAACCTTTTCAGCTGTGATCTGAAGATAGGCAAAGAGGGAACAAGGTGAAGGGATTGAGGTAGGGAGTTTCAGAGGTTTGGGGCATAATGGCTGAAAGCATGGCCACTGATGGTGGAGCAGAGTGGTCGAGGGATGTGCAAATTTCTAGATAATAAATGCAAAGGTTTACATATTAGTGGATTGTAAAAAGAAATTACGGAGGGCTCTGGGACCACATTATTCAGCTTTTGCACAGGGAAGATGAGTTATATTAGACATAGGACTCTGGTTAATACCTCGTGATTCACACATCTGATATATTTACTGTTTATCCGACAGTCAGTTTAATCTATTTTTTTTCAGTTTTAATCGCTAGAAGACCTTTTGACATTATAGGCACTATATCAAACACAACGATTACTGATCTTATTATTTTTCACTAAGATGAGATAGTTTAGCACATTATGTATTATTGATGTGGTGAAATGGGCCTGAAAAATGTCTGGGTTGCACTGGTTTATTGCAATACCATCTCGCCTAATTTTCTGCTAGCCATGATATATATTCTCAAATAGATAGTATATCTGCATGTCATGGGAAATGGTGAAAATATGATCAGAGCAAATAGCAACAACAACAACTTGCATTTATACAGTGGCCTTCACGCAGGACCCAGCTGCTGATCACCCAGCTCCCCCTTCTCTGCCCACTGCTAGCAGACATCATTAATCAGCCCTTCTCCTCAGGATTAGTCCCACTCCCCCTCAACGCCGCCATCATCATCCACTTCCTTAAACACCTATCCTTGATCCCCCCAACCTCCCGCCCTCCAACCTCCCGCCCTGCCCGCAGTACAGAGACAGCGCTCGTGAAAGTCACAAACATTTCTACATTTCTGCAAATGGCTTTTCTTCGCGCTTCCACCTGGTCATCTGCAGGGAACCCCAAGGATCCATCCTTAGCCCCCTTCTCTTCCTCATCTATATGCTCCCTCTCAGTGATGTCATCCACAGACCCAGGGTTAACTTCCAAATGTATGCGGATGAGGCCTGGATGAGTGCAAATTTTTTGCAGTTAAACATCAACAAGACGGAAGCCATACTCTTTGCCTCCCATCGATGTCTTCTGCCCTGCAGTTCTGACATCCTCAATCTACCTGATCTGTCCTTAAAACTCTCTGAACCTGTGCACAACTTGGGCGATCCCCAGTTATCCTTCCTTCTCCACATCTGGTTCCTGACCAGGACCGCTTTCCTCCACTTCTGCCACATTGCCTGTCTCTGACAATACCTCACCCCAAAAGCTGCCAAAACCCTTGTCCATGCCTTTGTCACCTCTCGGCTGGACTACTATAGTGCCCTCCTCGCCGGTCTCCCCTCCTCCTCTATTCACAAAATTCAGCTCATTCAAAACTCCGCTGCTCGCATTCTCACCCGCACCAAACTTCATACCCCGATTACTCCAGTCTCTGCTAAACTCCACTGGCTCCCTGTCACAGAGTGGATCAATTTCAAAATCCTCACTCTAGTGTTTAAATCCCTCGATGCCTTGGCACCCCCCTATCTCTCTAACCTCCTCTCTCCCCACAGCATTACCCACTGCCTCCACTCTACTGGCTCCGGCTTCCTCCCTGTTCTTCGAATCCTCTGCTCCACCATCGGCAGCCATGCTTTCAGCTACTATGCCCCAAAGCTATAGAACTCCCTCCCTCAATCGCTTCATCTTGTCCGCTCTTTCCCCATTTTCAGGGTGCGCCTGAAGACCTTCCTCTTCAACCGTGCTTATGGTCATCTTCCTCCTCCCCCTGGCTTGGTATCAGGCTCCACCAATGTTAAGCGCTCTGGGATGCCGCCAGGCATGGAGGACACTATATAAATGCAGATTGTTGTTGTAGAGTCTTAGTGTGCTGCACAGTGGTGAGGTTGGATGCCAAGCAAGGGAGAAGCGAAGGTTGAAGTGACCATATGTAGGATCAACTAGGTTATAGTGGGATTTAAAGTTTTAAAAAAAAGGGTGAGGAATTGTGGATGGATTGAGACAGAGAGTTCCAGGGGTAAATGGCACTGATGGTAGTGAGGACTGGTTGGGAGATGTCAGACCTGTGCCAGCCAAGCATAGAGTTTGGGCAGAGGAATGGGTACAAACAAGTCAGAGAGGTGTTAAGGCATGAAGGGATTTGTATGTGAGGTAGAGGATCTTGAAATTCATCCTATTAATCAAAATAGCAACCAAACAGGAGTTTCTTCAGTGACAGTTATTTTTGATCACATCCCAATTTCCTTCATGTTTGGCCTCCTTTTGGAATGTAATAAATCTCCCTGTTGGAGAATGAATTTCCTATTTGCGTCTGTTTTACACAAAAACTAGAGAGTAAATAACACTTAGTTATGGGAATACCGGGCCCTCATACCTCAGGTGAGTCAATGTTGAACACCTTCATGGAGGTGAAGCGGGGGACATTATATGCTATTATTAAGAGTAAAGGAAAGTGAAAACAGAGAAATGATCCAAATTGGAAGTAGAGAGTTAGAACATAAGAACATAAGAATTAGGAGCAGGAGTAGGCCATTCGGCCCCTCGAGCCTGCCCCGCCAATCAATAAGATCATGGCTGATCTATTCTAACTCCACGTACCCGCCTTATCCCCATATCCTTTAATCCCTTTATCCACAAGAAATCTATCAATCTCAGTCTTGAATATATTCAAGGACTGGGCATCTACAGCCCTTTGGGGTAGATAATTCCATAAATTCACTACCCTCTGAGTGAAGAAGTTTTTCCTCAACTCAGTGCAAAAGGGCTTACCCCTAATTTTAAGACTGTGACCCCTGGTTATAGTTTCTCCAACCAGGGGAAAAAGTCTCCCACTGTCTATTCTGTCGTGCCCCTTAATAATCTTGTAGGTTTCTATAAGATCACCTCTCATTCTTCTATATTTTAGAGAATATAGGCCTAAATTGCTCAACCTATCCTCATAACTCATCCCCCTCATCCCAGGTACCAACCTAGTGAATCTACGATGTATCCCCTCCAAGACGAGTACATCCTTTCCTAAATAAGGAGACCAAAACTGCACACAATTCTTTAAGTGCGGTCTCACCAGGGTCCTGTACAGTTGCAACAAGACTTCCCTACTCTTATATTCTAACCCTTTTGTAACAAATGCCAACATACCGTTAGCCTTCCTAGTTGCTTGCTGCACCTTTTTGTGACTAGTGTACAAGGACACCCAAGTCCCTCTGAACCCTAACACTATCTAGTTTCTCCCCTTCTAAAAAATAAGCTGCTCCACTGCTTTTGCCACCTAGGTGGATGACTTCACACTTCCCTACATTATACTTCATCTGCCATCTATTTGCCCACTCGTCTCCCCTATCTATATCTTGTTGCATTATTTTAATGTAATCCTCGGTGTTTACTCTTTGTTTACTCCTAGTTTAGTGTCATCCGCGAATTTGGATACATTAAGTTCGATGTCCTCATCTAAATCGTTGATGTAGATTGTAAATAGTTGAGGCCCAAGCACTGATCCTTGTGGCACTCCACTAGTCACATCCTGCCAATCTGAGAAGGGCCCGTTTATCCCTACTCTTTGTTATTTAGCCTCCAACTATTGGTTACATTTCCATTTGGAATAATTACTTAAAGACAAAATAGGGCTAAATACAGCCTCATCTCTCTTTGACAGAATGAATAAACATCTGCTGTTTCAATGCAGGGAAGATAGAATTTGGGGCAGTTTGAGGAAGATCTTGGGAACTTATTGCTGAGAGGTGAAGATCTGTTGATGGAGAATTTGGGCTGAGAA